TCTGGTGGAGGTCAGGGACCAGGTCTTCATCTGTCTGGTGGAGGTCAGGGACCAGGACTTCCTCTGTCAGGTCTGGTGGAGGTCAGGGACCAGGTCTTCATCTGTCTGGTCTGGTGGAGGTCAGGGACCAGGACTTCCTCTGTCAGGTCTGTTGGAGGTCAGGGACCAGGTCTTCGTCTGTCTGGTCTGGTGGAGGTCAGGGACCAGGTCTTCGTCTGTCTGGTCTGGTGGAGGTCAGGGACCAGGTCTTCGTCTGTCTGGTCTGGTGGAGGTCAGGGACCAGGTCTTCATCTGTCTGGTGGAGGTCAGGGACCAGGACTTCCTCTGTCAGGTCTGTTGGAGGTCAGGGACCAGGTCTTCGTCTGTCTGGTCTGTTGGAGGTCAGGGACCAGGTCTTCGTCTGTCTGGTCTGGTGGAGGTCAGGGACCAGGTCTTCGTCTGTCTGGTCTGGTGGAGGTCAGGGACCAGGTCTTCGTCTGTCTGGTCTGGTGGAGGTCAGGGACCAGGACTTCCTCTGTCAGGTCTGTTGGAGGTCAGGGGCCAGGTCTTCGTCTGTCTGGTCTGGTGGAGGTCAGGGACCAGGTCTTCGTCTGTCTGGTCTGGTGGAGGTCAGGGGCCAGGTCTTCGTCTGTCTGGTCTGGTGGAGGTCAGGGACCAGGTCTTCGTCTGTCTGGTCTGGTGGAGGTCAGGGACCAGGTCTTCGTCTGTCTGGTCTGGTGGAGGTCAGGGACCAGGTCTTCATCTGTCTGGTGGAGGTCAGGGACCAGGACTTCCTCTGTCAGGTCTGGTGGAGGTCAGGGACCAGGTCTTCATCTGTCTGGTCTGGTGGAGGTCAGGGACCAGGACTTCCTCTGTCAGGTCTGTTGGAGGTCAGGGACCAGGTCTTCGTCTGTCTGGTCTGGTGGAGGTCAGGGACCAGGTCTTCGTCTGTCTGGTCTGGTGGAGGTCAGGGACCAGGTCTTCGTCTGTCTGGTCTGGTGGAGGTCAGGGACCAGGTCTTCATCTGTCTGGTGGAGGTCAGGGACCAGGACTTCCTCTGTCAGGTCTGTTGGAGGTCAGGGACCAGGTCTTCGTCTGTCTGGTCTGGTGGAGGTCAGGGACCAGGTCTTCGTCTGTCTGGTCTGGTGGAGGTCAGGGACCAGGTCTTCGTCTGTCTGGTCTGGTGGAGGTCAGGGACCAGGACTTCCTCTGTCAGGTCTGTTGGAGGTCAGGGGCCAGGTCTTCGTCTGTCTGGTCTGGTGGAGGTCAGGGACCAGGTCTTCGTCTGTCTGGTCTGGTGGAGGTCAGGGACCAGGTCTTTGTCTGTCTGGTCTGGTGGAGGTCAGGGACCAGGTCTTCGTCTGTCTGGTCTGGTGGAGGTCAGGGACCAGGTCTTCATCTGTCTGGTCTGGTGGAGGTGAGGGACCAGGTCTTCATCTGTCTGGTCTGGTGGAGGTCAGGGACCAGGACTTCCTCTGTCAGGTCTGTTGGAGGTCAGGGGCCAGGTCTTCGTCTGTCTGGTCTGGTGGAGGTCAGGGACCAGGTCTTCGTCTGTCTGGTCTGGTGGAGGTCAGGGACCAGGTCTTCGTCTGTCTGGTCTGGTGGAGGTCAGGGACCAGGACTTCGTCTGTCTGGTGTAACGGAATGAAATGACTGTTTTCCACCTAAAAGTAATTTCCCCCCTCTCTCCTCAGCAAGAACTAGTCTGCATGAGACTGCCTCAAGGTCATGCATTTGCTTCTACACTGCTTCCTTTCCAGTCCAAGAGAATAATGAAGACAAAGAACTCTTTCTTTTTAATAAAGCTAATCAAAGACACCCTGATGAACCTAATCGGTTGGGTAGATTACAGGCTTGTCTTGAGGACATTAAAAACTGGATGACTCTAAACTTTTTGCTTTTAAATCAAGACAAGACGGAAGTTCTCATCTTTGGACCATAAATCCAGAAAAGGAAATTGCTTAGCCAATCACCTGACCTGAATGGCATTACATTAATCTCCGAGAACAAAGTAAGGAACCTTGGTGTTATCTTTGACCAGGACATGTCATTCAAATCCCAGGTTTCACAAGTTTGTAGGATTTCCTTTTTCCACCTTCGGAATATTGCTAAGATTAGAAGCATCCTTTCCAGGAGTGATGCTGAAAAACTAGTTCATGCATTTATTACATCAAGACTGGATTACTGTAATTCATTACTCTCAGGAAGTCCACAGAATGTAGTTAAAAGTCTTCAGCTTGTCCAAAATGCTGCAGCTAGAGTTCTGATGAGAATTAAAAAGAGAGATCGTATCTCTCCTGTCTTAGCTTCCCTACATTGGCTACCTGTTAAATTCAGAATAGATTTTAAGATCCTTCTTCTCACATATAAAGCTCTTAATAATCAAGCTCCATCATACATCAGTGATCTGATTGTTCCATACGTTCCTAACCGAGCACTTCGCTCTCAGACTGCAGGTTTACTGGTGGTTCCCAGAATATCTAAACTTAGGATGGGAGGCAGATCTTTTAGTTATCAGGCTCCTCTCCTGTGGAACCAGCTCCCAGCTTTAGTCCGTGAGGCAGACACTTTGTCTACTTTTAAGAATAGGCTTAAAACATTTTTATTTGATAGGGCCTATGGTTAAAATCTGATGTTAGCCTAGATCTGTACAAGTGGGGGAGTAGAGGGAGGTGGAGTGTACAGTCGGTAAAGACGACTCTCCCTTGCCCTGCCTCCAACATGCCTCCATCTAAATAGGATAGATTATCCAGAGTTATCTCTGTAGTTATGCTGCTATAGGCTTAGACTGCTGGAGGACACACTGACCACTTTCCACACTCTACTGCTTTCTTCTACAATCTGCTCTTTAACTGTATTATTTCCTGCTATTTCAGCTGTTAACTTTATTTTCTCTCTAAGTGTTTTTCTCCCCAGAAGAAGCTACAACGATGTTCTGCTGAGCTGTGGTGGCCTCATGGAGGGGGCCATCGACTAGCACACTGCTGCTAACCACTTAAACATTCTCTCTCTCCTGATAATAACTTTTTACTCTCATTGACGTTGGATGTGCTACTACTAGTTTACCCGTTTAATTATAGATTCACTAGGATAAATACAAAAAAGTTCATCTCACCAAATAGAATATTTACTAAGTAATCACAATGTAACCGTAGAAACACTACTGTGTGTGTGTGTGTGTGCGTGTGTGTGCTCTGTCTTCTCGATCCCCAGTGAGTCGTGGAGGATGGCTGCTTATACTGAGCCAGGATTCTCTGGAGGTTTCTTCCTGTTAAAAGGGAGTTTTCCTCTCCACTGTCGCTGCATGCTTGCTTAGTATGAGGATTGCTGTATAGTCACTGACACTAGTCAGCGACTTGATGCAATTTGCTGGGTTCCTTATATAGGAAACATTATTTCTGATTGGCTTAATGAACTAACCTGAATTGGAATGTTTATTATGTGAAGTGCCTTGAGACGACTCTGGTCGTGACTTGGCGCTATATAAGTAAACTTGAATTGAATTGAATCAAAGTGTTAGTCAATAATATAATGTTGACAGATCTGTTAAATGACAATGTTATGATTAATATGTTGTAATAAGTAAAATGACTTTAATCTAGCTGCACTAGACATGCTGATCACACGTAATGTAAACGCATGACACATTGCTGTTACTGATCCAATCAGAACCTTCCTTTCTGAAGCGTGGCATAGTCTCTGTGGTGTTTATAGATCTGTCCCAACTTTGATTCGACCAGAAATCAAAACATCCAGATTAATAAAAACAGTCCCCACGCCATCTTAGGGCAGTTCACCACATGCTAAGCGTAGTATCGGACCGGCCACCCGGACTTCCTTTTTAAGCAAAGAACCAACAAGCTGGATAAAATCTGTTGCATTTTACCAACCAAGCAATGGTTCCTTTCAGAATAAAAGCTGAACTCACTGACACTCCGGGTCCATCTGACGCTGTCACACAACTGTCGCTTTTTACCTGGAGACAATCCAAAGACTAGTCTGTCGTACTGCTGACGCTGTTTCATCGGCTCCGGTGCCAAAGGGGGGTCCGAGGACCTGCCATTCTGGATCTGTACGGAGGTCTCATCTGAAGGGTATGTGTGGAGCAACAACATGGCGTCTCATGTGTTCATGAAACTCCGATCATAGCAAAAGCAAAACATCACAACATCACTCAGACTTGCTTCTCCGGATACGAGAGTTCTGATGACAACACCACTCACACATACACCATTCATCTCACGTCTCATTCACACCAAGATCCATTCATCACTTAGAGTTTAGAGTTAGTCTTGTTTAAAATTGTTTAGAAATAAATCTTCTTAACGTTTTAAAGGTGACTCTCTTCTGTTGTCTCTCAGTTCATGTTTACGTAATCCCTGCAATAAAAAGGTCCAATCTTCTGGTTAAAATTACCCAAAGATCCATAAGATCGATTTCATATTTACTGTGGAATCTCATGTCTTATGTTCATTAAATAGATGTAAATTAACCCTAGTCACTGGTCTGGTGGAGGTCAGGGAGCAGGTCTAATAATGAATAATGACCCCCCCCCCCCCCCCCACACACACACACACACACACACACACACATAGTTCTACTCTTTATTCAGAACCAAACGACTTGGCCTGTACACAAATACAACCACTTATGAAGAAGAATGACGTGTCATGATCATTTTAATGCCTGATTCAGTTTGGAGACCCAGCTCAGGATTCAGGTTAACAATCAGCACCATGGACAGCAGCATCAGGGATGTCACGCCCCCAGGATGGACGCTCGTCTCCTCTGTTCTCTGAACCTGACTCAGCATAATTAATCTGCTGGGTGAGGTCGGGTCGGGTCGGAGGACCCAGGTCTGTTCATCTGGAGCGTTTATAGGAACACGAGAAGAGGCGGACTACTACAGGATGAAGGAACCAGCAGTGACAGAATCCTGAGTTATCTGAACAACACCTGCGTTTGGGTCTTAGCACCGTCTGATCAGTAAGACGCTGAACACGAGAAAGTAAGACAGGAAATAGTGAAGAGTCAAGCTTTTATTCTGAAATCCTTCAGGTAGGGTCAGTCAGGCTCCAGGTGTACACAGGTGAGCTGCAGGGGGCGAGGCAGTCTGGTCATAAACTCTCTGTCTCCTCGAGTGAAGCGCCTCACCTCTGAAACACACACACAAACACACACACACACACACACACACACACACACACACACACACACACACACACACACACACACACACACACACACGGTAAATGGCCTGTAGTTTTATAGCGCGTTCTCAGGGTCCTACAACACCCAGAGGCACTTCACAACATTCACCCATTCACACACTGATGGTGATGAGCTACGATGTAGCCACAGCTGCGCTGGGGCGCACTGACAGAGGTGAGGCTGCCGAGCACAGGAGCCACCGGCCCCTCCGACCACCACCTGCAGGCAAGTGTCTTGCCCAAGGACACAACAACAGCGAGAAACTGAGCAGGGCTTGAGCCGGCAACCTTCAGATTACTGGACAACCCGCTCTACCTGAGCTTCTGTTGTCCCATGTCACATACACAAACACATAAATCAACTAAGAGAAAAGGAGCAGGTCCAGGGAGGTATTTCCCGTAGTGAGCTAATCCCAAAAACCAGGCGGTAGTATTTGTTTTGAATGACGTATGTGATGTTTAACTCTTGGTGTGTAATGAGAGAGCTACACCAGAGAGCTACATGTGAGATACAAGTTCTAGCTACATGAGAGAGTTGCATGAGGGGTTGAAGCGTGGGCTGACCTAGCAGCTAGCAGAATAGCTAATGCTAATGCTGACACACAACAACTCTCTCTGGACTTGGTCGAGAAAATTATGAAAGCGACATAATCTCTGCTGGTGAAAATGGAAATACCTCTCCAGGAGCTCCACACCACCGTTAGCTCTTTGCAGTCTGCTAATGCACTAACCACCTTGAACGGTCAGCCACAGGGTGGAGCTGTGGGCCTGGAAGCTAAGATGAAGAAGCAACGGTCAAAAGTGTCAATCCTTACAGAACAATGTCCTGGAGGGCCAGAGCCATCACCAGAACACCAAGCTGGTGGGCACCGAGGAAGCATAAGGAGGCTAATCTTTTAGTTATCAGGCTCCTCTCCTGTGGAACCAGCTCCCAGCTTTAGTCCGTGAGGCAGACACCTTGTCTACTTTTAAGAATAGGCTTAAAACATTTTTATTTGATAGGGCCTATGGTTAAAATCTGATGTTAGCCTAAATCTGGACAAGTGGGGGAGTACAGGGAGGTGGAGTGTACAGTCGGTAAAGACGGCTCTCCCTTGCCCTGCCTCCAACATGCCTCCATCTAAATAGGATAGATTATCCAGAGTTAACTCTGTAGTTATGCTGCTATAGGCTTAGACTGCTGGAGGATACACTGACCACTTTCCACACTCTACTGCTTTCTTCTACAATCTGCTCTTTAACTGTATTATTTCCTGTTATCTCAGCTGTTAACTTTATTTTCTCTCTAAGTGTTTTTCTCCCCAGAAGAAGCTACAACGACGTTCTGCTGAGCTGTGGTGGCCTCATGGAGGGGGCCATCGACTAGCACACTGCTGCTAACCACTTACACATTCTCCCTCTCCTGATAATAACTTTTTACTTTCCTTGACGTTGGATGTGCTACTACTAGTTTACCCGTTTAATTATAGATCCACTAGGATAAATACAATAAAGTTTATCTCTCACCTAATAGAATATTTACTAAGCAATCACACATTATTGCGTGTGTGTGTGTGTGTGTATGTGTGTGTGTGTGTGTGTGTGTGTGTGTGTGTGTGTGTGTGTGTGTGTGTGTGTGTGTGTGTGTGTGTGTGTGTGTGTGTCTGCTCTGTCTTCTCCATCCCCAGTGAGTCGTGGAGGATGGCTGCTTATACTGAGCCAGGATTCTCTGGAGGTTTCTTCCTGTTAAAAGGGAGTTTTCCTCTCCACTGTCGCTGCATGCTTGCTTAGTATGAGGATTGCTGTAAAGACTCTGACACTAGTCAGTGACTCGATGCAACCTGCTGGGTTCCTGATATAGGAAACTTGTTACTGATTGGCTGAATGACCTGACCTGTGCTGGAATGTTTATGGTGTGCAGGTCCTTGAGACGACTCTGGTCCTGACTTGGTGCTTCATAAATAAACACTTCTGCGTGACTTCACTGAAGGACATCCTGGATTTGGAGGAATACCCATGCCTGGACTCTTGTCATCACTTGCTGGCTCCAAAACCTCGGCAGGGGGAAAAGCTTCGAGCCTTCATAATTCGTGATCCTCGTGGGAATGCGATGGATCGCATCCTCCACATCTTTCCAGATGTTGATCCAGAAGCAGCAAAGAAGCGAGCTGCTTCAGCAGGGGAAAGGTAGCTGCTCAGAGAGGATGTCAGGTTCAGACGTCGCTATCAGCTACAATCCAGATCACGTTCAAAGAAGAGAAAAACGCCTTCACTGATCCCGTGTTAGCCTCACTCGTCTCAGAGAGAACTGAATCCACCTGAGCATCTGGGCCAGCCGACCAATCCTAGAGTGAACAGGTGCGCTGATTCGAGTTAGGATTTTTCTAAACTATCTATGGAAATACTCTGAGCTGGCTCTGTGGAACAACCCTCAGGTGAAGTTCATGAGCTCCACAGGTGAGTTTGTTACCTTCTGGTCTCTGATTGGTCAGCCTCCTGCATGTGAGGGCGATCGGCCGACACATGACATCACTGCTACAGACACAAAACAGGAAGTGGTGCAGGAAGTCATCAGAGTCACCATCACACACCTGAGAGACAGACAGATAAACAAAAACAAGTGAGAGAGACAGGAAAACACAAACAGCCAAGAGACAGACAGGTAAACAAAAACAGCTGAGAGACGACAGATAAACAAAAACAGCTGAGAGACAGACAGGTAAATACAAACAGCCAAGAGACAGACAGGTAAACAAAAACAGCTGAGAGACAGACAGGTAAACACAAACAGCCAAGAGACAGACAAGTAAACAAAAACTGCTCAGAGACAGTCAGGTAAACAAAAACAGCTGAGAGGCAGACAGGTAAACACACATAGCAAAGAGACAGACAGGTAAACAAAAACAAGTGAGAGACAGACAGGTAAACAAAAACAGCTGAGAGACAGACAGGTAAACAAAAACAAGTGAGAGACAGACAGGTAAACAAAAACAGCTGAGGGACAGACAGGTAAACACAAACATGTGAGAGACAGACAGGTAAACACAAACATGTGAGAGACAGACAAGTAAATAAAAACAGCTGAGAGACAGTCAGGTAAACAAAAACAGCTGAGAGATGGACAGGTAAACACAAACAGCCAAGAGACAGACAGGTAAACAAAAACAAGTGAGAGACAGACAGGTAAACAAAAACAGCTGAGAGACGGACAGGTAAACACAAACAGCCAAGAGACAGACAGGTAAACAAAAACAAGAGAGACAGACAGGTAAACACAAACATGTGAGAGACAGACAAGTAAACAAAAACAGCTGAGAGACAGACAGGTAAACACAAACAGCCAAGAGACAGACAGGTAAACAAAAACAGCTGAGAGACAGTCAGGTAAAGAAAAACAGCCGAGAGACAGACAGGTAAAGAAAAACAGCTGAGAGACAGACAGGTAAACAAAAACAAGTGAGAGACAGACAGGTAAACAAAAACAGCTGAGGGACAGACAGGTAAACACAAACAGCCAAGAGACAGACAAGTAAACAAAAACAGCTGAGAGACAGACAAGTAAACAAAAACAGCTGAGAGACAGACAGGTAAACAAAAACAGCTGAGAGACAGACAGGTAAACAAAAACAAGTGAGAGACAGACAGGTAAACACAAACATGTGAGAGACAGACAAGTAAATAAAAACAGCTGAGACAGACAGGTAAACAAAAACAGCTGAGAGACAGTCAGGTAAACAAAAACAGCTGAGAGACGGACAGGTAAACACAAACAGCCAAGAGACAGACAGGTAAACAAAAACAAGTGAGAGACAGACAGGTAAACACAAACATGTGAGAGACAGACAAGTAAACAAAAACAGCTGAGAGACAGACAGGTAAACACAAACAGCCAAGAGACAGACAGGTAAACAAAAACAGCTGAGAGACAGACAGGTAAAGAAAAACAGCTGAGAGACAGACAGGTAAACAAAAACAAGTGAGAGACAGACAGGTAAACAAAAACAGCTGAAGGACAGACAGGTAAACACAAACAGCCAAGAGACAGACAAGTAAACAAAAACAGCTGAGAGACAGTCAGGTAAACAAAAACAGCTGAGAGACGGACAGGTAAACACAAACAGCCAAGAGACAGACAGGTAAACAAAAACAGCTCAGGGACAGACAGGTAAACAAAAACAGCTGAGGGACAGACAAGTAAACAAAAACAGCTGAGAGACAGACAGGTAAACACAAACAGCCAAGAGACAGACAGGTAAACAAAAACAGCTGAGAGACAGACAGGTAAAGAAAAACAGCTGAGAGACAGACAGGTAAACAAAAACAAGTGAGAGACAGACAGGTAAACAAAAACAGCTGAGGGACAGACAGGTAAACACAAACAGCCAAGAGACAGACAAGTAAACAAAAACAGCTGAGAGACAGTCAGGTAAACAAAAACAGCTGAGAGACAGACAGGTAAACACAAACAGCCAAGAGACAGACAAGTAAACAAAAACAGCTGAGAGACAGTCAGGTAAACAAAAACAGCTGAGAGACAGACAGGTAAACAAAAACAAGTGAGAGACAGACAGGTAAATAAAAACAGCTGAGAGACAGACAGGTAAACAAAAACAAGTGAGAGACAGACAGGTAAACAAAAACAGCTGAGAGACAGACAGGTAAACAAAAACAAGTGAGAGACAGACAGGTAAACAAAAACTGCTGAGAGACAGACAGGTAAACAAAAACAGCCAAGAGACAGACAGGTAAACAAAAACATGTGAGAGATAAACAGGTAAACAACAACTGGTGGGAGACAGACAGGTAAACAAAAACATGTGAGAGATAAACAGGTAAACAAAAACTGGTGGGAGACAGACAGGTAAACAAAAATATGTGAGAGATAAACAGGTAAACAAAAACTGGTGGGAGACAGACAGATAAACACAAACATGTGAGAGATAAACAGGTAAACAAAAACTGGTGGGAGACAGACAGGTAAACAAAAATATGTGAGAGATAAACAGGTAAACAAAAACTGGTGGGAGACAGACAGATAAACACAAACATGTGAGAGATAAACAGGTAAACAAAAACTGGTGGGAGACAGACAGGTAAAGGTGCTGACCAAGCTTCGCCCCTGAGGGAAGATTCTGACGTGCCCTCTCACTCTGACTGCTCTCTGAAGCCCCTCCCACTGGGAATCAGCCAATCCCAGCAGAGTTTGAAGAGGTCCACCTGAGAAGCAGACATGAGCCTCACCTGTTCCGTCCTCAATCACCACCCTGGTGGAGCCAGACAGGTGATTAGTGATCAGCTGTACAGGTGAGCTAACGGTTCCACTGATCAGGATCTGATCTGTGAACGATGAGTCAGGTCTTACTTAGCTCTGGACTCAAACTGAGAGCAGGATGATCCACACTGAGACCTGCACACCTGAAGGACAAAACCCACATTGTTAGCCTCCTCCTGCTGGAGGACATACCTGTGCACAGGTGGAAGACTGTAGTCCTCATAGGACTCTAGCAGTACGCTGTAGTAATGCCGAGTACCTGTGAGTACACACTCCCACACTGGGAGCAGCTCCACTGCAGCTGCAGGAACAAGAAACACGCCACGTGACCTTTGACCTGAGCCATATTACACTTGTGCTGATCAGTTCCAGCCCACTGAGCCAAGTGCATCCTGGGAACAGGTGGGGGCGGGGCACATCTGGGAACACCAACAGGTTAAAGGTTAAAGACTACAGGTGTGAGAAAATCCTAAAGGTTGATCTGCAGGTACCTGGAATCCCCCAGTGACATCACAGAGATACAGCTGACAGGTAGGAAGGAGCAGTACACGCCCCCCGACCTGAAACACACACACACACACACACACACAGGTGGGACGAATGACCACAAGTAGACACACACCTATCTCCTTCAGTTACCTGGACATCTTCCTCTGGACACCTGACAGCAGCAGAGTGTTGCCAGGCAACAGGCCAGGTGGGTAGGGGGCGTGTCTCAGGTCCAGGTACACCTGGAGTCTCTGTCCAGTTTGGTCACACATGGTGAGACGTACACCTGGACACACACACACACACACACACACACACACACACACACACACACACACACACACCCAATAAATCCAACTACCTGTGTGTGTGTGTGTGTGTGTGTGCGTGCGTGCATGTGCTACCCGTGTGTGTGTGCATGCGCGTGTGTGTGTGTGTGTGTGTGTGAGTGCGTGCTCGTGTGTGTGTGCTACCTGTGTGTGTGTGTGTGTGTGTGTGTGTGTGTGTGCTACCTGTGTGTGTGTGTGTGTGTGCTACCTGTGTGTGAAGACCCAGACTCTGCGGTCCTGCTGCTCACAGCGACCCTCTCACACACCTGACCCTGAACACACACCAGCTCAGAGCTGGAACAGGTGAACGAGGTGTTAAAGCTAAAACAAGGAAGTGGATAAACTAGCTTGAATCGTTTGTACCACGTTCCAACGTAGAACAACTACAAACACAACACCTGGATTACATAAGCACACAGGTAGGAGCCACCTATGTGATAATTACTGCAACAAGCCATTACCCCCACCACCAGCTGCTTCTCCTTTCCTAAACAACCAGGTGGGAAGCCATCTGGTGGTGGAGATGTTAGTGTGTGTGAGAAGGGTCAGATCATCGGCATCAAGCAGAGAAAACATCTAAGGAGGTGCAGAAACTGGGTTCAGAACTTTATTAAAACTGGTCTAGTGAGTCCAGATGGACCCTGGTCCAGAGTGACGGCGCATCAGGGTAAGAAGAGAGGCAGATGAAGGGATGCACCATCATGCCTAGTGCCTACTGCACAAGCCTGTGGGGGCAGTGCTATGATCTGGGCTTGCTGCAGGTGGTCCGGTCTAGGTTCAGCAACAGGAAGTGCTCCAAGGATGAGGTCAGCTGACTACCTGAATGACCAGGTTATTCCATCTTCCCTGATGGCACGGCCATATTCCAAGATAGTGAAAGTGGTTCATGGAGCACGGGACGTCATTTTCACACATGGGTGGGCCACCACAGAGTCCAGACCAGAACCCCGTCTCTGGGATGTGCTGGAGAAGGCTCTGTGCAGCGGTCAGACTCACCATCATCAGTGCTAGATCTTGGTGAGACATTAATGCAACACTGGATGGAGATAAATCTGGTGAGGCGTTTGGAAACAACGCCACAGCGAGTGTGTGTCGCAGCTCAAGGAGGTCCAGCGAGACATCAGGGCGTGGCCTTCTGTTGGGCTGGGTGGTGTATGTTGTGAAGATAAAAAAGTAAACAAAGTGGTTCTAAAAACCTCCCCCAACAACATGTTTCAGTCCAAAACCAACCGTTAGACCATCCGGTCTCACCGAACCGCCGCACTCCCCTGGGTCCTCCACCCATCACACACTCACGTGTTCAGCAGCAGAACACCACCAGTGAGAGAGGTCCTCCACTCAGTAACACCAGAGAAGGAGAAACAGCCGGCGGCTACCGCTGCAGCTTTAGGACAAACTACCAGAGTCCCAAAAGTAAACCACCATCTGAAGTCATGGACAACAGAAGATGTTTGGACCTAGAGACAGAGACTGGTGTTTAGTGGTATCTGGTTTCCTCTGACATCACAGGTTTCCTGTTCCACTGGACACAGGTGGATGGACGATACCCGAGGGGAGGGGTGAGTGTCTCTGACCCAAACAAGCTTGTTCTGTAGATTCGCTATAGCAGCAGTTTCTCACTCAGCCACACTGACTTCTGTTTACCTGCAGTCCAACACCTGGGACACCGACAGGACAGGGGGGGGCTCCACCTGAGGACACAGGCAGAAGATTCAGTTAGAGTCAGACCAGGCAGCGTGGTTCTGGGCAGCCATCTTAGTTTGAGTCGACTACATCTCAGGAGGTTTTAGGAGACTTTGGGTTTGACTTCTACAAAGACTGAACAGTTTGATCCTAGCATGATCTCACAGGTCCCACGTGTACTCTGAGCTACGGGGGGGTACACCTGTAGCTGTGTTCGCTCTCAGGTTGGGTCCTGTCTCAGGGACATTCGTTTGACCCGTTATTAGGAACCAGGGATCAGAGGAAAATCCTGACACACTGACTTTATTACTTTAAACATCATAAACACGATAAGAGCATTCTTTATCTGCCCAAAACGTCTCGCTTTCAGGAATTATGTACATGCTGTTACAAATCTCTTCAAAGGTAACTGTTTACTTCTCCGTGCTGCTGCGTTGACCGATGCTTCTTCCTGCTACTGAGTTGCCCTCCTACTGTGAGCAGAACACTGCAGTAGCAGCAGCAGCAGTAGCCACAGCTGCAGTATCAGGACGCTGCAGCAGCAACAGTAGCCGCAGCTGCAGCAGCAGGACGTAGCAGCAGCAGCAGTAGTAGCCACAGCTGCAGCAGCAGGACGTAGCAGAAGCAGCAGTAGTAGCCACAGCTGCAGCAGCAGGACGCTGCAGCAGCAGCAGTAGTAGCCACAGCTGCAGCAGCAGGACGTAGCAGCAGCTGCAGCAGCAGGACGTAGCAGCAGCTGCAGCAGCAGGACGTAGCAGCAGCTGCAGCAGCAGGATGTAGCAGCAGCAGAAGTAAAAGCCACAGCTGCAGCAGCAACAGTAGTAGCCACAGCTGCAGCAGCAGCAGTAGTAGCCACAGCTGCAGCAGCAGGATGTATTAGCAGCAGAAGTAGCCACAGCTGCAGCAGCAGGACGCTGCAGCAGCAGCAGAAGTAGTAGCCACAGCTGCAGCAGCAACAGTAGTAGCCACAGCTGCAGCAGCAGCAGTAGTAGCCACAGCTGCAGCAGCAGCAGTAGTAGCCACAGCTGCAGCAGCAGCAATAGTAGCCACAGCTGCAGCAGCAGCAGTAGTAGCCACAGCTGCAGCAGCAGCAGTAGTAGCCACAGCTGCAGCAGCAGGATGTATTAGCAGCAGAAGTAGCCACAGCTGCAGCAGCAGAACGCTGCAGCAGCAGCAGTAGTAGCCACAGCTGCAGCAGCAGGATGTATTAGCAGCAGAAGTAGCCACAGCTGCAGCAGCAGGACCCTGCAGCAGCAGCAGTAGTAGCCGCAGCTGCAGCAGCAGGACGCTGCAGCAGCAGCAGTAGTAGCCGCAGCTGCAGCAGCAGAACGCTGCAGCAGCAGCAGTAGTAGCCACAGCTGCAGCAGCGGGATGCTGCAGCAGCAGCAGTAGTAGCCGCAGCAGCAGAAGTAGCCGCAGCTGCAGCAGCAGGACGCTGCAGCAGTAGTAGCCACAGCTGAAGCAGCAGGACGCTGCAGCAGTAGTAGCCACAGCTGCAGCAGCAGGACGCTGCAGCAGTAGTAGCCACAGCTGCAGCAGCAGGACGTAGCAGCAGCTGCAGCAGCAGGATGTAGCAGCAGCAGAAGTAGTAGCCACAGTTGCAGCAGCGGGATGCTGCAGCAGCAGCAGTAGTAGCCGCAGCAGCAGAAGTAGCCGCAGCTGCAGCAGCAGGACGCTGCAGCAGTAGTAGCCACAGCTGCAGCAGCAGGACGCTGCAGCAGTAGTAGCCACAGCTGCAGCAGCAGGACGTAGCAGCAGCTGCAGCAGCAGGATGTAGCAGCAGCAGAAGTAGTAGCCACAGCTGCTGCAGCAGGGCGCTGCAGCAGCAGCAGCAGTAGCCACAGCTGCAGCAGCAGCAGAAGTAAAAGTAACCCCGGGTTTCCACGGGAGCCGTCAGCAGCACGTTACTGCAGCAGCACGTCTTGCTGGCGTAAGCTGCTGCTTGGCCCTTCCCACGAGAAGCGAAGCAGCAGGGGAGCAGCTGTCACCGACCGAGCACGAAGTCACACGAGTGACTTCGTCAGTAAACACAACAACAAGCAGGAGAAAATTACAACATGGCTCCAAAAGGTTTGTGTTTTATGTTCTGTCCGTTTTATAATCGCCAATTAATACGCTCAATGCAATCAAGTAGATCAGATAACTTGTTAAACTCTGTGTCCTTGAAACAGCAGAACAGTTGAATGTCATCCGCATATAAATGGTAGGACACATTAGTAAAGCTTTTAATAATCTCCCCAAGAGGGCAAATATATAAAAGAAACAAAATTGGGCCAAGGACCGAGCCCTGGGGAACACCGTGAAGCAAAGATGGGACTTCAGACCCAATCTTGTTTACACATAAAGAGAATGTTCTGTTATTTAAATAGGAAGAAAACCACTTCAGAACCGTACCAGAAAATCCCAACTCATTGTGTAGTCGGTGTAACAGAATTTTATGGTCCAATGTGTCAAAAGCTGAAGACAAATCCAATAAAACCAGTACAGTATACTGGCCAGAGTCTGCAGCCATCAGTACATCATTAGATACCTTTAACAGAGCTGTCTCAGTGGAATGCATCTTACGAAAGCCTGATTGGAACTTGTCTAAAACATTATTAAGGTCCAGAAAAGTAGTCAGCTGCCCTGCCACCAACTTCTCCAGAACTTTAGCCAAAAAAGGGAGTTTTGAAATTGGCCTATAGTTGCCAGGTTCAGATGGGTCCAAATTGGGCTTTTTCAAAATAGGGCTTAAGGCTGCTTGTTTGAAGTAGCTTGGAACTGACCCAGTAGAAAGCGAAATGTTAAAAAGTTTGGCGATGTGTGGGCCAACAACACCCCAAACTTTCAGAAGCAGTGATGAGGGAACTACATCTAATGGGCCGGAAGAAGGCCTCATCTTTTCCAGAGCAGCTTTTATGTCCTCCGCAGTAACAGGAATAAATGAGGACCGCAAGCTCTCCGAGTGACCAGTGTTAGAAGTTAAGACAGGGGATGGAGTAATACTAGCCCAGTATTAGTTTAAGACAGGGGATGGAGTAATACTAGCCCAGTATTAGTTTAAGACAGGGGATGGAGTAATACTAGCCCAGTATTAGTTTAAGACAGGGGATGGAGTAATACTAGCCCTAATGTCATCAACTTTTGTTACAAAAAAGTTTGACAATCTGTTGCAGTCCACAGTAGAAAATACAGGTACCATGGACGCTGGCGGTGAAACAAGAATTTAGGGGTTTTCCTGTTCATGTTCACAAGGTTAGAAAAGTACGAAGACCTGGCCTGTTTAATCTACTCGTTGAGCGATGAGATCAACTCTTTTAGATGCAATCTGTGGACCTCAAGTTTTGTAGATTTCCACAAACGTTCCCCCTTACGGCAAGATCTCCTAACCAGCTTGATGTTTTCATTCATCCAAGGGAAAGAGTTTTTAGTAAAAGATATTTGTTCCCTAACTGGGGCGACCTGGTTTAGAAGGGACAAACAGTGACTATTGAATGAGTCAATAAAATGATCAGCATCGCTGTGACCATCAAAACGTTCTGACTCAAACAGATTGGAGAATTTTTCAACAGCAGTTTGATTTATAATTCGCCTTTGGTAAATTACTTTATGAGGTCTACTTTCTAATTTAAAACACAGATTAAAATACACACAGCAGTGATCAGTAAAATGAACATCCACAGCCCTCAGCTGGTCTACATTAAGGCCAAAAGACAAAACTACATCTAAGGTATGGCCTTTCGAATGTGTAGAACCAGACCCATGCTGTTTAAAATGGAACGACTCAGTGAGATTCAGTAGCTCTGATGCTGTCTTGCAAGAAGGATTATCAATATGAATGTTCATATCTCCAAGGATTAAAACATTCTCAAGTTTAATAACACCGGGCAAGAACTCTGAAAATTCATCTAAAAACCTGCGTGCAGGACCAGGAGGACGATAAACTATTGGGCCATTCCCATCTGTACCGGGTCGGCCCGGGCCGGGTAGCGTAGGTTGTTTACATATCTGGGTGGCCTGGTATTGTTCCGGGCCAACCAAGGCTTATTCTCAGCCCTCTTCTCGAGGGGTTCTGCTTCAGGCCGACCAGGGCCAACACACCCACTGCTGACAGCAAATTCACACCTTCCATTAGAGCAAGCCTCTGATTGGTGGATAGAATCAGCCCACATGGGCTTAAGGCAAGGATGTGTGGAATCAACCGGGCCAGGCTGGGGCCGACTGGGGCTACCCGGCCCGGGCCAACCCGGTACAGATGGGAATGGCCCATATAACACAGTAAAATGAGTCCGTTTTCCCAACCTTAACCATTTGCAGCTCAAAGGAGTTGTACGAGGGGTGGTTCATAAGCCGACAGAAGAAGCAGTCCCTGTAGATAAGAGCGAGTCTGCCACCTCGCCGCTCGCCGCGCGGGGTCCCAAACACAGAACAGCCAGGAGGGCACAGCTCGTTTAAAAGCATGTGATCTTGTTCCCTCTGCCAAGTTTCTGTCAAACACATGAGATCCAGACGTTCTTCATTAAACATATCTCCAAGGATGAAAGTTTTATTCGCTATGGAGCGAACGTTCAGCAGGGCGATCCTTGCTGTCGCGCACTGGGCCGGTGATTCGCTCTGGGCAGGTTGGCACCGCACTGGAGAGCAGGCGCCGTTCACACATTCCGCCTGGTAGGGGACAGCTCGGAGGATCCGCTCACGGGATGTATGGAACCGGCTACGTCGAGATGGGAAAGTCTGTTCAGACAGCCACGATCGTGGCGCCACATGGGACAGCACTGGCGCCTCCGCGCGACCACATCGTGGCACATTGACTGGCACCGGTCAGAGGCATCGCTTGCTCATTGCAAATCTGGACTCACTCCATACAGATGTTTTCCCATAATGTTTTCTTAGCCTGGACTGGATTCCAGCTCTAGATCCACGCTTCCTCCTCCGTCCACGGCGGCTTGAGGGCCGCGAGCATTCCCGTGCTGGCGTGGCACAAACAACAGTTGGAGAGAAAAAATTGGCGTACCTGCCCCAGGTACCACAAGCAATCTGCATATGCTCTTTAATGCGGAAAAGCGTGTGCCGATCATAATGGTACTGACTGACAGCTGAGACACAGTTTGTTGACAAACTTGATACGGCAAAAAATTTAATCAAACAGATCACCAACATGCGAGCAAGTGGTGACGAAGCACGCACAGAGAGGCCGAGCCTAACACGGGCGCCATCATGCTCGGTACACACCACAGGGTGTCTCAAGACTCTTCAAAGTGCAGCAGCAGCAGAACTCTGCAGCAGCAGCAGCAGCAGGACATTGCAGCAGCAGAACTCTGCAGCAGCAGCAGCAGCAGGACATTGCAGCAGCAGAACTCTGCAGCAGCAGGATGCTGCAGCAGCAGATCGCTGCAGCATCAGTAGCAGCAGCAGTAGTAGCTGCAGCAGCAGCAAGACGCTGCAGCTACTACTGCTGCAGCAGATCACTGCAGCAGATCACTGCAGTGATCTGCTGCAGTGATCTGCTGCAGCAGTAGTAGCTGCAGCAGCAGCAGCATCAATAGCAGCAGCAGTAGCAGGTACATTTAATTTTGGTGACAAAGACGCAAACGTGCATTCAGAGCATAAATGTAATCTTGTCTTGTCATGTTTTAGTCACCAAAGAGTTATTTTTAGCTTGTCAGCGTCTTGTTTTCGTGCTCGTGGCTCGTTGCCCGTGGCGTTGATATAACGTCCTCCTAAATTTGATGTGGACTTTTTAAAGGACTTCTCTGACCTCCTGTCTGTAAACATGCTAAAGTATGATCATGTTTTGGTTCTTGGTGATTTTAATATTCATGTGTGTTGCCCTGATAAGCCATTGACTAAAGACTTCTTACATCTGTTGGGCTCCCTTAATCGGTCACAGTGGGTCCTGGGTCCTACTCATGCGCAGGGACACACCTTGGATTTGGTGCTCTCTATTGGTCTCTCTGTTGCTGGTGTAGAGATACTGAGCCCGGTTTTTCTGATCACTCGCCCATTCTATGTGATTTTAACTTGCCCTGCGTGCCTGCTGTGGCTTCCTCTCATGTGAGATTCCGTCGTGTTTTAAATGCAGCAAAGATTATTGAGCTTGGTGAGCTCCTATGTGCAGAAGGAAGTGAGCTACACACAATGTCACTTAATGCAGAGGAGCTTACACTCCAGTTTGACAGTATCTGTAAAAACATTTTGGATATAATTGCACCTCTTAGGATTAGAAAGAAGAGGCCTAGGCCAGAACCATGGCTCTCTGATGATGTTCGGGCCTGCAGGCAATCCTGTAGGAGGGCAGAAAGGAAATGGAAGAAAGACAGACTCCAAGTCTCTCGTGAGATATTCAGAGAATCTTTGTTTAGCTACCAGCAAACTCTTAAGGAAGCAAGGGTGAAGTTCTTTGCTGATATCGTGGAAAAAAAGTCTCACGATCCACGCTCTCTTTTCTCCGTAGTAAATTTGCTACTTGAGTTCTCTGATTCTAGCGCTTTGCCTCCCACAGTTGAAACTTGTAATGACTTTCTTCACTTGTTTGTTGATAAGGTTACATCTATTCGAGCTGCCATTACAAACTCACCATCTGACTCTCTACTCCCAGAGCCGCTCCAGGCTACACTGGAAACATTTGAGCCTGTATCCTTATCGGACTTGGAAAAACTGGTCGCTCAGCTCAAACCTTCTGGCTCTCCTTGTGATGTGCTGCCCCCGAGAATTTATAAAGAACTCTTTCCAGTGATAGGCCCTTTGCTGTTGGCAGTCATAAATGGCAGTCTTACTTCTGGTATGGTTCCGTCCTCGTTTAAGAAGGCTGTTATTCATCCTATGTTAAAAAAACCGGGGCTGGATGTGACAACCTTAGCTAATTACAGGCCCATCTCAAAACTCCCTTTTCTTTCCAAACTGCTGGAGAAGGTCGTGTATTCACAATTGGTTGACTTTATGGACACAAATGATTTATGGGAGACCTTTCAGTCAGGGTTCAGGAAAGGTCACAGCACTGAATCTGCTCTTTTAATGGTTTTTAATGACACGTTTTTAGCCTGTGACATGGACAACGATGTCGTCCTGCTATTGCCTGACTTATCTGCAGCTTTCGATACAGTCGACCACAAAGTCCTTCTGGACCGACTACAGCATTGGGTGGGGATAACTGGGCAGGCCCTCCAATGGCCTTCAAGACAGGACATTTAGTGTTCAGATGGGTGAGGTAACGTCACCCAGCGTGAGACTTCGTTGGGGTGTGCCACAGGGCTCTGTCCTTGGTCCTCTCCTATTTGCAGTGTATTTGCTTCCTCTTGGAGTCCTCCTTCGCCAACATAATATGAAATTTCATTTTTTTGCTGATGACTGCCAGATCTATCTCCCTCTTCGATGTGGGGAGGATAGATCTGTTTCTCCTTTACTGGATTGCTTGAAGGACATAAAATGCTGGATGGCTTCTAATTTTTTGCACCTAAATGAGAGCAAAACGGAAGTTATAATACTTAGTCCTGGCAGAAGAAATGGCTCTGGTGCTGATATTGACCTTGGCCCATTGACACCCTATGAAAAGAAAATGGTCAGTAATTTGGGGATTAAAATCGACTCAGCACTTAATCTTGACACTCATGTAAATACAGTGGTGAGGTCCTGTTTCTTTAACCTGAAAAGACTATCCAGGATCAGGCCTCTGCTGTCCAGAGCTCATCTGGAGTCTGTGTTGCATGCCTTCGTCCTGTCCCGGCTGGACTACTGCAACGCTCTGTATGCTGGTCTGGCCCAGTGCACGGTTGCACGGCTCCAGTTTGTACAGACCTCAGTGGCTAGGTTCCTGACAGGTACTAGATGTCGAGAGCACATTACCCCAGTGCTGGCTGCTCTGCACTGGCTCCCGGTGCAAATCCAAGCTCAGTTTAAAATCTTAACTCTCGTTTATAAGGCCCTCCAGGGCAGTGCCCCTCGTACATTGCTGCACTTTTGAACAGGTATGCTCCATCTCGGTCTCTTCGCTCAGCCGAGCAGGGACGTCTGGTTGTCCCCCGGTCGAAATATCGATCGAGGGGTTATCGTGCATTTTCTGTTCTGGATCCAACTCTGTGGAATGAATTGCCATTGAGCATTAGGCAGGCACCGTCCCTTCACGTCTTTAAGTCTCGTCTAAAGACTCATTTTTATTTGATTGCTTTTCAGCGCTAGGGTTCATTGAATTGCCCTGACATCATGGTTTTTAATACTTCTTCTTTTGATCAGGATGCTTGATCTTATTTTGTCCACCATTTGTTTTTAATTGATTGGTCTTATTCCGCTATCTCTCTGTACTTGTGATATTGTTTGCTTGTTATTTTATGATTTTATCTTGCTCTTACGCCCAGGTACTGGGGATGTTTTTATGGTGATGCTGTTCAGCACCTTGGGCTTCTGATAACGTTGTGGAAGGTGCTCTACAAATAAAATTGATTGATTGATTGATTGATTTCGTTATGAGAAAAAGGGGCGTCAACTAAATCCTTAAGTCACGGTTAAAGAAAAGAACCCTGGTGTCAGGATTACCTGTGTGCAGGTGGGGTCCTGGAGAAGGCGTGTCAGCGTGTGGAGCCTCCAATCAGATCTGACCTGAAGAGTGGCTTCAGTGTGAAGCTCCACGCCACTCCTCCCAGAAACTCTGCAGCCAATCAGAACGCTGGGATCCTGTTGTAAACAGAGCAGTGAAGCAGCCAGCTGCAGTAACAACGCCCTACCAGCAGAGGGCAGCAAACTAATCCCAAAAACCAGGCTCACGCTGACAATCCCGACCATCTCCCTGAAGCGGGCTACATATCAGTTTATTTATAAAGCACACGAAGTAACCAAACAGCTGTAAACGAGCTCAGGAGTAGAGCGGGTTGTCCAGTAAGCAGAAGGTTGCAGGTTCGACCCCGGCTCCCACCAGAGAACGCTGCTGTTGTGTGCTTGAGCAAGACACTTAACCCGCCTTGCCTGCTGGTGGTGGTTGTGTTTAGCAACCTCGCCTCCAACAGTGCATTCCAGGACAGCTCCGCCCCACCAGCGTGTGAATGGGTGAATGACTGATTGTGCTGTGCAGCGCTTTGGAGGGTTGTAGAACCCCCACAGAGAGCTATTCAGATACAGGCTGTTGATCATAAAACACACACTTGCTTGTGGATGGGCCTGCTCCGAGGCATGCTAGCTGTGAGGCACGTTTAAGCTAGGTGAACATGATTGGGTATTTAGAGGCTTTTGTCCAAGGTGGCGTACAGGTGATGTCTTTCTGTGATGCATGATGGCGGTTGGCAGCAAAGAGGAGGTGCGTTAATGGCACCTCTGGCCCACGGTTGGTGGCTAGATGACTAACAGATGCGACTTTAATCTTTAACCATCTGAAGTCACGAACACCAAAAGATGTTTGGATGAAGGAAACAGCGACTGGCGTTTACCGATGTCTCGTTTGCTCTAGCCACGGGGATAACAATATCGGGGGTGTGGCCTGGGGGTGAAACCCGACAGGAGGGATGAGTGTTCTGTGACCATGGTGGTATTTAAAAGCTAGCATGTACTGTAGCTGTGCTATAGCAGCGTTAACGGGCTGCCTGTGGACACGTGTCAGCCTCGCTCATCTCTCCTGGCTAGAATCAGCCACAAATGAACCAAACTGAGATTCGTGTCTGGAACCGAATAAGCCCTCTGGTGATGAGCCAAAGCCCCACCCCTCTCTGACATCATCACAGGTGTTTTACCTGAGTGTTGGCTGCAACCAGTCTGTAAAAAGTTCCAGGTTGGAGGAGAGGAAACCACCGAGAACAAACACCTGAGAAGACCAGAATCACCTGCACAAAGGTAAACACCAGGTAAACATCAAGTAAACATCAGGTAAACAGATAAATGCCAGATAAACACCAGGTAAACATCAACTAAACAGGTAAACATTAGGTAAACAGATAAACGCCAGATAAACACCAGGTAAACATCAGGTAAACACCAAGTAAACAGATAAAAATCAGGTAAATACCAAGTAAAGAGGTAAACATCAGGTAAACAGATAAACGCCAGATAAACGCCAGATAAACACCAGGTAAACAGATAAACACCAGGTAAACATCAGAAAAAGACCAGGTAAACATCAGGAAAAACACCAGGTAAACATCAACTAAACAGGTAAACATTAGGGAAACAGATAAATGCCAGATAAACACCAGGTAAACATCAGGTAAACACCAAGTAAACAGATAAAAATCTGGTAAATACCAAGTAAAGAGGTAAACATCAGGTAGACAGATAAACACCAGGTAAACATCAGAAAAACACCAGGTAAACATCAACTAAACAGGTTAACATTAGGGAAACAGATAAATGCCAGATAAACATCAGATAAACATCAGGTAATCATCAGGTATACACCAGGTAAACATCAGGTAAACACCAGATAAACACCAGTTAAACAGATAAATGCTAGATAAACACCAGGTAAACACCAGATAAACATCAGGTAAACATCAGATAAACACCAGGTAAACATCAACTAAACAGGTAAACATTAGGGAAACAGATAAACGCCAGATAAACACCAGGTAAACACCAGATAAACATCAGGTATACACCAGGTAAACATCAGGTAACACCAGATAAACACCAGGTAAACACCAGATAAACACCAGGTAAACATCAACTAAACAGGTAAACATTAGGGAAACAGATAAACGCCAGATAAACACCAGGTAAACAGATAAATGCCAGATAAACACCAGGTAAACACCAGGTAAACAGATAAATGCCAGATAAACACCAGGTAAACACCAGATAAACACCAGGTAAACATCAACTAAACAGGTAAACATCAGGTAAACACCAGATAAACACCAGGTAAACAGACAAATGCCAGATAAACACCAGGTAAACATCAGGTAAACACCAGATAAACACCAGGTAAACATCAACTAAACAGGTAAACATCAGGTAAACACCAGATAAACATCAGGTAAACACCAGATAAACACCAGTTAAAAAGATAAACACCATGTAAACATCAGGTAAACACCAGCTAAACATCAGGTAAACATCAGATAAACACCAGATAAACACCAGGTAAACAGATAAACGCCAGATTAACACCAGGTAAACAGATAAACACCAGGTAAACACCAGGTAAACAGACAAACGCCAGATAAACATCAGGTAAACAGATAGATGCCAGATAAACACCAGGTAAACATCAGGTAAACAGATAAACGCCAGATAAACATCAGGTAAACAGATAGATGCCAGATAAACACCAGGTAAACACCAGATAAACACCAGGTAAACATCAGGTAAACAGATAAACAACAGATTAACACCAGGTAAACAGATAAACACCATGTAAACACCAGGTAAACATCAGATAAACACCAGGTAAACATCAGGTAAACAGATAAATGCCAGATAAACACCAGGTAAACACCAGGTAAACAGATAAATGCCAGATAAACATCAGGTAAACAGATAAACACCAGGTAAACATCAGGTAAACAGATAGATGCCAGATAAACACCAGGTAAACACCAGATAAACATCAGGTAAACACCAGGTAAACATCAGGTAAACACCAGATAAACACCAGGTAAACATCAGGTATACACCAGATAAACATCAGGTAAACAGATAAATGCCAGATAAACACCAGGTAAACAGATAAACACCAGGTAAACATCAGGTAAACAGATAGATGCCAGATAAACACCAGGTAAACATCAGGTAAACACCAGATAAACACCAGGTAAACATCAGGTAAACACCAGATAAACACCAGGTAAACATCAGGTATACACCAGGTAAACATCAGGTAAACACCAGGTAAACACCAGATAAACATCAGGTAAACACCAGGTAAACAGATAAATGCCAGATAAACATCAGGTAAACAGATAAACACCAGGTAAACATCAGGTAAACAGATAGATGCCAGATAAACACCAGGTAAACACCAGATAAACATCAGGTAAACACCAGGTAAACATCAGGTAAACACCAGATAAACACCGGGTAAACATCAGGTATACACCAGATAAACATCAGGTAAACAGATAAATGCCAGATAAACACCAGGTAAACAGATAAACACCAGGTAAACATCAGGTAAACAGATAGATGCCAGATAAACACCAGGTAAACATCAGGTAAACACCAGATAAACACCAGGTAAACATCAGGTAAACACCAGATAAACACCAGGTAAACATCAGGTATACACCAGGTAAACATCAGGTAAACACCAGGTAAACACCAGATAAACATCAGGTAAACACCAGGTAAATATCAGGTAAACACCAGATAAACACCAGGTAAACATCAGGTAAACATCAGATAAACACCAGATAAACATCAGGTAAACACCAGGTAAATATCAGGTAAACAGATAAATGCCAGATAAACACCAGGTAAACAGATAAACACCAGGTAAACATCAGGTAAACAGATAGATGCCAGATAAACACCAGGTAAACATCAGGTAAACACCAGATAAACACCAGGTAAACATCAGGTAAACACCAGCTAAACATCAGGTAAACATCAGATAAACACCAGATAAACACCAGGTAAACAGATAAACGCCAGATTAACACCAGGTAAACAGATAAACACCAGGTAAACACCAGGTAAACAGACAAACGCCAGATAAACATCAGGTAAACAGATAGATGCAAGATAAACACCAGGTAAACATCAGGTAAACAGATAAACGCCAGATAAACATCAGGTAAACAGATAGATGCCAGATAAACACCAGGTAAACACCAGATAAACACCAGGTAAACATCAGGTAAACAGATAAACAACAGATTAACACCAGGTAAACAGATAAACACCATGTAAACACCAGGTAAACATCAGATAAACACCAGGTAAACATCAGGTAAACAGATAAATGCCAGATAAACACCAGGTAAACACCAGGTAAACAGATAAATGCCAGATAAACATCAGGTAAACAGATAAACACCAGGTAAACATCAGGTAAACAGATAGATGCCAGATAAACACCAGATAAACATCAGGTAAACACCAGGTAAACATCAGGTAAACACCAGATAAACACCAGGTAAACATCAGGTATACACCAGATAAACATCAGGTAAACAGATAAATGCCAGATAAACACCAGGTAAACAGATAAACACCAGGTAAACATCAGGTAAACAGATAGATGCCAGATAAACACCAGGTAAACATCAGGTAAACACCAGATAAACACCAGGTAAACATCAGGTAAACACCAGATAAACACCAGGTAAACATCAGGTATACACCAGGTAAACATCAGGTAAACACCAGGTAAACACCAGATAAACATCAGGTAAACACCAGGTAAATATCAGGTAAACACCAGATAAACACCAGGTAAACATCAGGTAAACATCAGATAAACACCAGATAAACATCAGGTAAACACCAGGTAAATATCAGGTAAACAGATAAATGCCAGATAAACACCAGGTAAACAGATAAACACCAGGTAAACATCAGGTAAACAGATAGATGCCAGATAAACACCAGGTAAACATCAGGTAAACACCAGATAAACACCAGGTAAACATCAGGTAAACACCAGATAAACACCAGGTAAACATCAGGTATACACCAGGTAAACATCAGGTAAACACCAGATAAACATCAGGTAAACACCAGATAAACATCAGTTAAACACCAGGTAAACATCAGGTAAACACCAGATAAACACCAGGTATACACCAGGTAAACACCAGGTAAACACCAGATAAACATTAGGTAAATATCAGGTAAACACCAGGTAAACATCAGGTATACACCAGGTAAACATCAGGTAAACACCAGGTAAACATCAGGTAAACACCAGGTAAATATCAGGTAAACACCAGATAAACATCAGGTAAACACCAGATAAACATCAGTTAAACACCAGGTAAACATCAGGTAAACACCAGATAAACACCAGGTAAACACCAGGTATACACCAGGTAAACATCAGGTAAACACCAGATAAACATCAGGTAAATATCAGGTAAACACCAGGTAAACATCAGGTATACACCAGGTAAACATCAGGTAAACACCAGGTAAACATCAGGTAAACACCAGGTAAATATCAGGTAAACACCAGGTAAATATCAGGTAAACACCAGGTAAACATCAGGTAAACATCAGGTAAACACCAGGTATACACCAGGTAAACATCAGGTAAACACCAGATAAACATCAGGTAAATATCAGGTAAACACCGGGTAAACATCAGGTATAGACCAGGTAAACATCAGGTAAACACCAGGTATACACCAGGTAAACATCAGGTAAACACCAGATAAACATCAGGTAAATATCAGGTAAACACCAGGTAAACATCAGGTAAACACCAGGTAAACATCAGGTATACACCAGGTAAACATCAGGTAAACACCAGGTAAACATCAGGTAAACACCAGGTAAATATCAGGTAAACACCAGGTAAATATCAGGTAAACACCAGGTAAACATCAGGTAAATATCAGGTAAACACCAGGTAAACATCAGGTATACACCAGGTAAACATCAGGTAAACACCAGGTAAACATCAGGTAAACACCAGGTAAATATCAGGTAAACACCAGGTAAATATCAGGTAAACACCAGGTAAACATCAGGTATACACCAGGTAAACATCAGGTAAACACCAGGTAAATATCAGGTAAACACCAGGTAAATATCAGGTAAACACCAGATAAACATCAGGTAAATATCAGGTAAACACCAGGTAAACATCAGGTATACACCAGGTAAACATCAGGTAAACACCAGGTAAACATCAGGTAAACACCAGGTAAATATCAGGTAAACACCAGGTAAACACCAGGTAAATATCAGGTAAACACCAGATAAACATCAGGTAAATATCAGGTAAACACCAGGTAAACATCAGGTAAACACCAGGTAAATATCAGGTAAACACCAGGTAAACATCAGGTAAACACCAGGTAAACATCAGGTAAACACCAGGTAAATATCAGGTAAACACCAGGTAAACATCAGGTAAACACCAGGTAAATATCAGGTAAACACCAGATAAACATCAGGTAAATATCAGGTAAACACCAGGTAAACATCAGGTATACACCAGGTAAACATCAGGTAAACACCAGGTAAACATCAGGTAAACACCAGGTAAATATCAGGTAAACACCAGGTAAACATCAGGTATACACCAGGTAAACATCAGGTAAACACCAGGTAAACATCAGGTAAACACCAGGTAAATATCAGGTAAACACCAGGTAAACATCAGGTATACACCAGGTAAACATCAGGTAAACACCAGGTAAACATCAGGTAAACACCAGGTAAATATCAGGTAAACACCAGGTAAACATCAGGTATACACCAGGTAAACATCAGGTAAACACCAGGTAAATATCAGGTAAACACCAGGTAAATATCAGATAAACACCAGGTAAACATCACAGTGTTTCCCCTAGGAATTTTTCCAGCTGTGGTGGAGGTGGTGTTGGGGGGGGGGGGGGGGGGGGTATGACACGTCTCACCTTTATGTTAATATTGTTTTATTTGATGCACTCCACTTTGAACTGCACCAATCCAGCGACTGCTGCATTGTAATAACTAGTATTAAAGGTGGGTACACCAGTATTTGCACAAGAATACTTTCTGTTTTAAACTCTCAGTGACACACTTTGCAGGGTGGATTTGGCATTTAATTTTTCTTGGCATCTGGAAAAACATCTTCTTTTGCCCCCTTTATTTGACTTTCTGCCCCCTTTATTTAGGTCCAAGACCATTACTGGGCTGGCCTTATTAAACACCTTCTACACCCCTGCTTAGTAGACTTAATGAAGTATTTTTAAGCCAGTATAAAAATGACTGAAACACACATTTACATATTTGGCGTTATTGACCAATATTTTTTATTTAATTTATTTGTTAAGAACATCAAGGTGCATTACAGTGAACATTATAATAAGCTGGGCGGACACTGTGCGGCTTTTTCACTCGTAACACAGCTTCAGCTCAAACTGTACGACTTCAGCGCAGGGTAGATCTCACGAGTCATGTGCTCACTGTACGTCTGGTAGCAACACGTCGGACCTAAAATATGCTAAAAATAGCAGTTTTTACACAACACGTCAGACTTTTTTGTCTTGTTTTGCCTGTTGTCCTTCGGGAGTGCTGCAGGAGGACACACAGGGATTTATGGGGGTTGGATGAGGAAAACGAAATAAAGAAAGTGAATCTGTGTTTTGTGATCAGTTTAATTTGACATGAACACGACAAACACGCTTTCTTGTCAATCTTTGTGAGTAAAAAAAACGTGTAGAAATAAAAACGAACAACGTGTGTTATTAGGGAAATAGCGGGTGAGCGGAGTTGATGCATGAATGCGAATGCGCCGTGAGCGGTTCTGATACTTTTTGGGTCGCTGCGCCGCTTCAACCCTCATGAGGAACGAGATAAATATCAAACACTCCGGAAGTCCGTGCGAGCTCATGATTACTGATCGGTAGCTGGTCACGTGGTGTTAATCGCCTCTCGTGACCCCCTGTACACTACACGACGCTCAGCGCTAAACTCGCCCCGATCTTGTGGATTCTCGCACGAGTGGAAAATCTGCTCAAAAAAGTGAAAAAGTCGCACAGTGTCCGCCCGGCTTTACTGTCTGTGTGTGTGTGTGTGCGTTGATGCCAGGGCCGAGCTGACGGAGCTCCCGGCTGCAGTTTTGTGTGTAGGGAGGGGCGGGCGCTCTATCTGACTGGCCAATCACAGAGCGTGAAGACAGTCAGTTACCCAATGAGGATTTCATTCAGCACGATTACAGATATTTACGAGTTTTACACTCGTTTCTTGCTCGTATTCGTCAAAAACGCTTTATCCGTACGCTCATAGCTGTAACCACCCTGCCCTGCCTCCTCCTCCTTGCTACCTGCCGGCTGTGATCACAAGCAACAACACAGTATTTCCCGCTGCTTCTTCGGGAAACGGCGCAAAAAAAAAAAAAAAAAAAAAAAACATCAATAAAACTTGGGATGTTGTAGGCGTGGCGGTGGGATTTCAGCCGTGGCGGCCCGCCACGGCTGCGCCTATGTAAGGGAAACCCTGCATCAGGTAAACAAATAAACGCCAGATTAACACCAGGTAAACAGATAAACACCAGGCAAACATCAGGTAAACAGATAAACACCATGTAAACACCAGGTAAACATCAGATAAACAACAGGTAAACACCAGGCCATTATTTCAGCTTTAGCTTCAAGAAAGTTTTGGTCGTAAACAACAAAGTGCGCATGTGCCGCCGGCAACTTCAGCAGATGATACGATGGCTGGTAAGGGTCATCGCGCCTACACCGCAGCCACGGTAACCCACCGAGATAATATAGTTTTTTAAGAAACAAGACGGTTATTATTATTGTTAACTTTTTTTTTTACCGGGGTTTACCGCTACACCGGTTACCGTGACAACCCTACCTGATCGGTCTGCTTTGATCTATTTTGAAAACTCCGATCAAAACCGATAGGGACGCTATCGGCCGATTACGATCAACTGCCGATCCATCGGTGCATCCCTAGTAAACACCAGGCAAATATCAGGTAAACACCAGATAAACATCAGGTAAACATCAGGTAAACAGATAAATACCATGTAAACATCAGGTAAACACCAGTTAAACATCAGGTAAACATCAGGTAAACAGATAAATACCATGTAAACATCAGGTAAACACCAGTTGAACGCCAGATAAACACCAGGTAAACAGATAAACACCATGTAAACACCAGGTAAACACCAGATAAACATCAGGTAAACACCAGTTAAACGCCAGATAAACAGATAAACGCCAGATAAACACCAGGTAAACAAATAAACACCAGGTAAACATCAGGGGGGTATTCCAGAACGTGACTTTAGAACATCGGCATCTCCTGATAAATCCCTCACTGACCTAGCCCTCCCCTCCCTTCCTGGTTTGGCCGGCTTCAGTTTTCCATTTTCAGGTGGATTCAATCCCGTCTAATCCAAACGAGGAGCGGCAGGCTAGGCTAGCGCGCGTCCACAGGCAGACCCTGTTAATCGATGCTAGATAAATGAGAATGGGAGTAAAGGACAGAGCCTCGTTCTTCATCCAGACGGAGCACTAATAATTCTTTCATGGCTACGAGGACTACAAACATGTCAGAACTACAATAGCGACCATGAGCTGCTTGGATAAAGCTGTGTAGCTGGAGCTGTTTAGTTGACATGTTTCCATGGCAACGCCGGAAGTACACTTCAGCTCTTGTTTCTCCACATATTTTATTAAAGTTTCATCATTTATGTGGTTTTCATGCTCTGCTCTGGAGTCTGGAGGATGTTGTTTCTGCTGAGTGGCTGTGAGTTTGAAGAATAAACGTTTATGGTGGTCACATGACCCTAAAGTTATGTAAACCGTTTGGCGCTCATGTTACTCGCCGAGGCAAAAACATCACGTATGTCATTTAAATCACACACTACCGTGTTTGCCTCTGGTTAGGGTTAATAAAGCCTTTGCCTTTTACATGTATTATGTTAGCAGCTGTAAGCTAGTTTAGCATGTTAATGATACGGGCCCATCCCAGACTAAAGCCCATACATGATTATTATTAATTGGTGACATCAGTGGAATCGGACGCTGCAAATGAAGGTTAAACACAACAAAGATGTAAATCCAGTCAGAGCTCAGGGTTAACCCTAGCCCTGACCCTTTAAACGCCACATTTATCATTTAGCCATCAAGAACAAAGCTGCTGCTATCGCTGTGGGCCAGCGGTGGCGCTAATTCACCACCTCGTAGCTGCCAGCCACAAGAAAAAGGTGACCTCACTCGCCTCGTCCAATCATATTCACAAAGTGTCAGTTAGCCTAACTGCTAGCTGCCACGGAGCAGGTTTGTTCTCTAGCATGTGTTACCATGGTGACTGGGAGGAGCTTGAGGCTGGCCGCGTTGGTAAAACTGACTTAAGGCGGTTACACCGGGGAAAATCTCACTTTCTGGAACACCCCCCAGGTAAACAGCAGGATCCTTCTCACCTTCTCCTTCTCTGGCCCCACCTCTCGTTCCATCATTGGTTTGTTTTTTGGGTCCCTCTCCCAGCTGACCACAGGACCAATCACAGCAGCTCTAACTGAAAAGCACAGTTGAAGCCCAACCTTCTTTTCTGTCAACTCTTTCCCTGTGTTCTTCCAGGCCACGCCCTCTTTCTGCTCCACCCTGATTACCACAGTAACACAGGGCTGGGAGGCCCCACCCTCAGGGCCAGTGGCCATGGTAACAGAGGAGGAAGAAGGATTTGGGTCTTCTCTTCTTTTCTTGTCTGTTGGCTCTTCTTCTGTCTGTTCCCCCGCATCTCCCCCTGGAGGTCCCCCCGTTGACCTCAGGTGTGTTACCATGCCAACAGATGGGCTCAGGATGAGGAGGTGGTCCAGGGAGAACTGTACGTACACTCTATCACACACACACACACACACACGCACGCACGCACGCACGCACGCACGCACGCACGCACGCGCACACACACACACACACACACACACACACACACACACACACACACACACACACACACACACACACACACACACACTCCTGCTCAGCTGAGCGCAGGGACAGTGATGGAGAACAACACAGTTAACTACGGAGGAGCATTACCCTGTAGAGCCCAGAGAAGCAAAAGTCTGAACCTCCACAGGAAGCCAGGGGTGACATGCTCCGTGTCCCTATCAGCAGCACTGCTGCATTCTGGACTACGTGTAAGCTCCTCAGCACTGCTTGAGTCAGTCCAGCATGAAGGGCATTCCTCGGTTTGGTACTGATGTCCTCGGTTTGGTACTGATGTCTTCAGTTTGGTACTGATGTCTTCAGTTTGGTACTGATGTCTTCAGTTTGGTACTGATGTCCTCGGTTTGGTACTGATGTCCTCGGTTTGGTACTGATGTCCTCGGTTTGGTACTGATGTCCTCGGTTTGGTACTGATGTCTTCAGTTTGGTACTGATGTCCTCGGTTTGGTACTGATGTCTTCAGTTTGGTACTGATGTCCTCGGTTTGGTACTGATGTCCTCGGTTTGGTACTGATGTCCTCGGTTTGGTACTGATGTCTTCAGTTTGGTACTGATGTCCTCGGTTTGGTACTGATGTCCTCGGTTTGGTACTGATGTCCTCGGTTTGGTACTGATGTCCTCGGTTTGGTACTGATGTCCTCGGTTTGGTACTGATGTCCTCGGTTTGGTACTGATGTCTTCAGTTTGGTACTGATGTCTTCAGTTTGGTACTGATGTCCTCGGTTTGGTACTGATGTCCTCGGTTTGGTACTGATGTCTTCAGTTTGGTACTGATGTCCTCAGTTTGGTACTGATGTCCTCGGTTTGGTACTGATGTCCTCGGTTTGGTACTGATGTCTTCAGTTTGGTACTGATGTCTTCAGTTTGGTACTGATGTCCTCGGTTTGGTACTGATGTCTTCAGTTTGGTACTGATGTCCTCGGTTTGGTACTGATGTCTTCAGTTTGGTACTGATGTCTTAAGTTTGGTACTGATGTCCTCGGTTTGGTACTGATGTCTTCAGTTTGGTACTGATGTCCTCGGTTTGGTACTGATGTCCTCGGTTTGGTACTGATGTCCTCGGTTTGGTACTGATGTCCTCGGTTTGGTACTGATGTCCTCGGTTTGGTACTGATGTCTTAAGTTTGGTACTGATGTCTTCAGTTTGGTACTGATGTCCTCGGTTTGGTACTGATGTCTTCAGTTTGGTACTGATGTCTTCGGTTTGGTACTGATGTCCTCGGTTTGGTACTGATGTCTTAAGTTTGGTACTGATGTCTTCAGTTTGGTACTGATGTCTTCAGTTTGGTACTGATGTCTTCAGTTTGGTACTGATGTCCCCGGTTTGGTACTGATGTCCTCGGTTTGGTACTGATGTCTTCAGTTTGGTACTGATGTCTTCAGTTTGGTACTGATGTCCCCGGTTTGGTACTGATGTCCTCGGTTTGGTACTGATGTCCTCGGTTTGGTACTGATGTCTTAAGTTTGGTACTGATGTCTTCAGTTTGGTACTGATGTCTTAAGTTTGGTACTGATGTCCTCGGTTTGGTACTGATGTCCTCGGTTTGGTACTGATGTCCTCGGTTTGGTACTGATGTCTTCAGTTTGGTACTGATGTCCTCGGTTTGGTACTGATGTCTTCAGTTTGGTACTGATGTCCTCGGTTTGGTACTGATGTCCTCGGTTTGGTACTGATGTCCTCGGTTTGGTACTGATGTCTTCAGTTTGGTACTGATGTCCTCGGTTTGGTACTGATGTCCTCGGTTTGGTACTGATGTCCTCGGTTTGGTACTGATGTCCTCGGTTTGGTACTGATGTCCTCGGTTTGGTACTGATGTCCTCGGTTTGGTACTGATGTCTTCAGTTTGGTACTGATGTCTTCAGTTTGGTACTGATGTCCTCGGTTTGGTACTGATGTCCTCGGTTTGGTACTGATGTCTTCAGTTTGGTACTGATGTCCTCAGTTTGGTACTGATGTCCTCGGTTTGGTACTGATGTCCTCGGTTTGGTACTGATGTCTTCAGTTTGGTACTGATGTCTTCAGTTTGGTACTGATGTCCTCGGTTTGGTACTGATGTCTTCAGTTTGGTACTGATGTCCTCGGTTTGGTACTGATGTCTTCAGTTTGGTACTGATGTCTTAAGTTTGGTACTGATGTCCTCGGTTTGGTACTGATGTCTTCAGTTTGGTACTGATGTCCTCGGTTTGGTACTGATGTCCTCGGTTTGGTACTGATGTCCTCGGTTTGGTACTGATGTCCTCGGTTTGGTACTGATGTCCTCGGTTTGGTACTGATGTCTTAAGTTTGGTACTGATGTCTTCAGTTTGGTACTGATGTCCTCGGTTTGGTACTGATGTCTTCAGTTTGGTACTGATGTCTTCGGTTTGGTACTGATGTCCTCGGTTTGGTACTGATGTCTTAAGTTTGGTACTGATGTCTTCAGTTTGGTACTGATGTCTTCAGTTTGGTACTGATGTCTTCAGTTTGGTACTGATGTCCCCGGTTTGGTACTGATGTCCTCGGTTTGGTACTGATGTCTTCAGTTTGGTACTGATGTCTTCAGTTTGGTACTGATGTCCCCGGTTTGGTACTGATGTCCTCGGTTTGGTACTGATGTCCTCGGTTTGGTACTGATGTCTTAAGTTTGGTACTGATGTCTTCAGTTTGGTACTGATGTCTTAAGTTTGGTACTGATGTCCTCGGTTTGGTACTGATGTCCTCGGTTTGGTACTGATGTCCTCGGTTTGGTACTGATGTCCCCGGTTTGGTACTGATGTCCTCGGTTTGGTACTGATGTCTTAAGTTTGGTACTGATGTCTTCAGTTTGGTACTGATGTCTTAAGTTTGGTACTGAAGTCCTCGGTTTGGTACTGATGTCCTCGGTTTGGTACTGAAGTCTTAAGTTTGGTACTGATGTCTTCAGTTTGGTACTGATGTCTTCAGTTTGGTACTGATGTCTTAAGTGTGGTACTGATGTCCTCGGTTTGGTACTGATGTCCTCGGTTTGGTACTGATGTCCTCGGTTTGGTACTGATGTCCTCGGTTTGGTACTGATGTCCTCGGTTTGGTACTGATGTCCTCGGTTTGGTACTGATGTCTTCAGTTTGGTACTGATGTCTTAAGTTTGGTACTGAAGTCCTCAGTTTGGTACTGATGTCTTCAGTTTGGTAATGATGTCTTCAGTTTGGTACTGATGTCTTCAGTTTGGTACTGATGTCTTCAGTTTGGTACTGATGTCTTCAGTTTGGTACTGATGTCATCACTTTGGTACTGATGTCCTCAGTTTGGTACTGATGTCTTAAGTTTGGTACTGAAGTCCTCAGTTTGGTACTGATGTCTTCAGTTTGGTAATGATGTCATCACTTTTGTACTGATGTCCTCAGTTTGGTACTGATGTCCTCAGTTTGGTACTGATGTCCTCAGTTTGGTACTGATGTCCTCAGTTTGGTACTGATGTCCTCGGTTTGGTACTGATGTCCTCGGTTTGGTACTGATGTCTTAAGTTTGGTACTGAAGTCCTCAGTTTGGTACTGATGTCTTAAGTTTGGTACTGAAGTCCTCAGTTTGGTACTGATGTCTTAAGTTTGGTACTGAAGTCCTCAGTTTGGTACTGATGTCCTCGGTTTGGTACTGATGTCCTCGGTTTGGTACTGATGTCCTCAGTTTGGTACTGATGTCTTCAGTTTGGTACTGATGTCTTCAGTTTGGTACTGATGTCTTCAGTTTGGTACTGATGTCTTAAGTGTGGTACTGATGTCCTCGGTTTGGTACTGATGTCCTCGGTTTGGTACTGATGTCCTCGGTTTGGTACTGATGTCCTCGGTTTGGTACTGATGTCCTCGGTTTGGTACTGATGTCTTCAGTTTGGTACTGATGTCTTAAGTTTGGTACTGAAGTCCTCAGTTTGGTACTGATGTCTTCAGTTTGGTAATGATGTCTTAAGTTTGGTACTGAAGTCCTCAGTTTGGTACTGATGTCTTCAGTTTGGTACTGATGTCTTCAGTTTGGTACTGATGTCTTCAGTTTGGTACTGATGTCTTAAGTTTGGTACTGAAGTCCTCAGTTTGGTACTGAAGTCCTCAGTTTGGTACTGATGTCTTCAGTTTGGTACTGATGTCTTCAGTTTGGTACTGATGTCTTCAGTTTGGTACTGATGTCTTCAGTTTGGTACTGATGTCATCACTTTGGTACTGATGTCCTCAGTTTGGTACTGATGTCTTAAGTTTGGTACTGAAGTCCTCAGTTTGGTACTGATGTCTTCAGTTTGGTAATGATGTCATCACTTTGGTACTGATGTCATCACTTTGGTACTGATGTCCTCAGTTTGGTACTGATGTCCTCAGTTTGGTACTGATGTCCTCGGTTTGGTACTGATGTCCTCGGTTTGGTACTGATGTCCTCGGTTTGGTACTGATGTCCTCGGTTTGGTACTGATGTCCTCGGTTTGGTACTGATGTCCTCAGTTTGGTACTGATGTCTTCAGTTTGGTACTGATGTCCTCAGTTTGGTACTGATGTCTTCAGTTTGGTACTGATGTCTTCAGTTTGGTACTGATGTCCTCAGTTTGGTACTGATGTCCTCAGTTTGGTACTGATGTCCTCAGTTTGGTACTGATGTCTTCAGTTTGGTACTGATGTCTTCAGTTTGGTACTGATGTCCTCAGTTTGGTACTGATGTCTTCAGTTTGGTACTGATGTCTTCAGTTTGGTACTGATGTCCTCAGTTTGGTACTGATGTCTTCAGTTTGGTACTGATGTCTTCAGTTTGGTACTGATGTCCTCAGTTTGGTACTGATGTCCTCGGTTTGGTACTGATGTCCTCAGTTTGGTACTGATGTCCTCGGTTTGGTACTGATGTCCTCGGTTTGGTACTGATGTCCTCGGTTTGGTACTGATGTCTTAAGTTT